TTATATTTTTTACCTCACTTAAAATATCCATTTTCTTCTGTTTTTATGATTGCTTAGGGTTGAATAAGTATGCTCAAATATGTTATGCTGAGAGAGCTGTGAATTCTAAGCCTCCTGAGATGACTGAGTTAAAACACAGAGGTGAGAAAGCATAGAGCAGTTCTGGAAAGCCAGTTCAAGAGAGGCTCCAAGCAAGAGAGCATGGGGTGCAGATGTGATGACCTCTTAGGCCTGAGGAGCTAGAGGAGGTGCGGAAAGCCCCAAAATGCTGGGGAGATTACAATCTGGTCTTCACATCAAAAACCCTTACAATGTAACTGAGATTTTTAAGTTTTCTGTAATGCATTATAGTACCTTATATTTTATTAAAAGTCACCTATCAGATCATTCTTCCAATTAATCATCATTCTGTTGGGTGCAGAGATGGCTCATAAGTTCCAGAAATGGCACATTCAGTCCTTATCGTCAAGGCTTGGAACCCGGGTCTAGGGGGACCTACAACATGAGCAAGCATTTCCAGTATGATACAGTATAAAGGCAGGCGGTGGCTGGGAATCAGGTACTTGCAGAGCACAGAAGAAAAGCGACTCACTTGCCCTGGAGAATGAGGTTTTTCTACTCTTCAGGAGAGATCAAATTTATTTCCAATGCTATTTCGCTGCTGGCCACTTTTATGGCGCGATGTGTATGGCCATTTAGTATCACTTACATTTGATGTTCTTCTCTCTCTAAGTGTCCTGGAAACAAATAATATCCTGGATGGCTTTCCTCCATCCTGTGGGAGATCTCACAGGCACATCTTTGGTCTATGGACAAACGTGCCATTTCGAGAGAAGATTCCTGTTTATAACTCTGCTTCATGAGTTATTTGCCACTAACATTTATAGTTCTGTGCCACATGCTAGCATGTATCATTTCACTTGCACAAGCGAAGAATACATAAGTATTTTATCTGAGTTTATATAAAAATTAGATTTTATTTTATACTTGCAGTTTGCCTTTTCAAAACATCTGACCTAAAGTCTCAGTGACAGCTGGAAGACTGGAGTTGAGAAAAAGCTAATTGTTGGTCTCTCGGGCCTCAGTTACCCCTCTGTGAGATAAGAAGAGCAGCGGTATTTACTTCATCAGCTGCTGAAGAGTAAGCGAGTTACTTATACAACAGTGGCTTCACAGAAGGTGCTGTGTGTTAGGCTGTTGGCATTGAATGGGGAATATAAGTGGCGTGCATTAACCCCTGCAGGACAACTGAGCAGGTTTTCTCTTGGTCTTGTGGTGATTATTGACCTTCTTTTGTGTCTAATACAACCTTTTTAAATTAAGGTTTTAAATTTCTGATGTTAGGATAGGAGTTTTTTCATAGCATCATACAATTCTGGCCGTATGGCTGACTGTTTCTTAATTCAAGTAAAAAGTCAACTTGAGTTTGAAATTGTGTGGGATTTGGAATGGTAGAATTAGTTTTTATTTTGCCCTGGGTATGCAATAACTCCTTTAAAAACCTTTTTAAATTTTAAAAGCTTACTTGTATGTGTTCCATGGTAGTTATGTCTCCTGCCACTGACTGATTCAGGAGAAAGAACCCAATAAAATTCTATGGTAAGGCCTATGCCTTTTTTTTTAATTTTAAATTGAATTTATTGGTACATTCTAGGTAGACAGTACAGTTACATTCATTACTGGGATCTTGTACCTTTACATGCCAGGTCTTGGTTCTCATTTTTTCCCCTTGTCCCCACCCTCCCTTCACCCCCTCCTCCCCTCCCTACCTTCAAACACTTTAATTCCATATTTACATTTTCTCATTTTTTTTTTCCTTTTCCCTTATTCCCCTTTCCCTATCCTTCTCACTGTCCCTACGCCTTTGGTCTTTTTCTTTCTATTTCACATTGCTCATTGTCCCGTTAGGATCTTGAGTACTATTTTGTTTTTCACACCAGAGGCCTATGCCTTTTTTTTAAGCTGCTACTCCACTAAACTGACCTCTCTCATAATGCCACAGTTATTGAATAAATGGTCCCACTTGCCTGTTAATGTGTGAAATCAAAGCACGA